TTTTCAAACCACGTCTTATTTTCTGAAATATTTAGCGATGTCCAAAGACCCCTGTTGCTACCTCCTAGATCTGAGTTTATCGCATACACTGGATAACCAATGTGCTCAAGATTTTTAATAATTTCGAATAGTAGTTCTTTAGTTATCTTGCAGTCGAAATCATAAAATATCGGTTGCTTCCAGTTTCCAAATAGACCTCGAGCCATAATTACTTGAACATATTTTGATGGGCTTAATGTTGTATCACTTTTTCTTTCGTACTCGAAACCAGCTTGAATTTTCATTTCATCAAACAGCACAACGCAAGCTTTGTCCATTTTGGATAGAGAATTATTTTCCATTAGCCTTAGTATTATAGTTAAGATACCTAAAAGAGATTATTTCAATGTTTAGAATATTTAGTTATAAAACCATGTACTAAATTTTACAATTGCTATAAAATACCTGGCTTGACGTCAATTTTCTCTGCCCACCGCCTTAATGTAGAAAGCCCTGGGAGTGGATAACCTCTTTTTCTCAATAAACGATAAGAGCGTGGTCCTGCTGAGAATAAGGATATTGAAGAAGCAATGTCTTCTACTCTCCATAATATGCGACTACTTGTGGATTTTAGTTTTCGTAGTTGACCATTCGTAAAAATTTTTTCCACTAATTGCAATTCTGCGGTTTTCTTTGCAAGCATACGTCTATCAGTTTCCGATTCGCGTTCAGCTTTAATTAGTTTTGCATTGACCATTTCCAATTCTTTGTTTTGATTTAGAAAATTGTTGTCCATTAATTGTAATTCTGCAGTTTTTTGGGCAAGCCTACTCTTTAATGCTTCAGATTCTTCTTCAACTTTTGTTAGTTTCTTCTTAATCAGCTCTAATTCTACGTTTTGTTTTAAAATGGCACTTTTAAATGTAATACAATCTTTGCAAGAATGTTGGGAACTAAAAATATATACGAGAAATTTTATAAGTAGGGATATATTAGAGCAAGAATTTCATTACCATTTCTTCCATTGTAGAAATCTTACTTTCTGAAGCTATTTGATCTTGAGACGAGTCTTGAGACCGTTCATCCTGATACTTGCATGTATCCAAGCTTTCATCTTCACTTTCATTTAATTTTGGTAAATTTACAGAAGGAATGGCATCATTTTTTAAACACCATAAATGCCGTGGGTAATTTTGTAGCTTTTCTCTTAAACGATAATCACTTTCCACAAAATGTTCAGAACAAATTCTAGAATTTTCGACTTTAAATTTACGTTTTTTGTTGCAAACACGCACCCATTCATCACAAATATGTGTCAGTCTAGGAAAACGAAAATACCGACAATTTAAATTAAAAGTATAGCTGTTTCTGTTGGAATTATTTGTACAACTCATCACCGCACAATACACCATGTCGCTTACTTTCAAATAGAACGACACGCAAATCGCTACTGTCAAGCTGTCATTATGGCATGATACTATTATCATGTTACCAGTAATTCGTTTGTCACCCAGTGACGTCATTATAGATGCGCTCGCGTGCGCATGAGCATATCTGATTATTATAGTATCATGTGTATAGGTACGTACCTATAAAGTTGGGATAGAAAGTATTTTGCAAACAAGAATCAAGCCTATAAGGTTTTTAAGACATATAATGCTCTAATATGCACCCTGAAAAACGTTTCAAAGAATTTATAGGGAGCTTTTATTTCGGGAATTTTGTGAAGTCACAAAATCCTGGAAAAGGCCAGAAAGTTCTGCCTAAAAAATTCTGAAAGGCATCGTAGAAAACTGTAAAGGATCCAAAAAAAGTTCTAAGAAACAGATAAAGAAATCCTCAAATTGCCAGAGTTCATGAGAAGGACCGAAAGACCTATAGCTTTTTCCATTGCCTGTTTTCATAGTAGGTATTGCAGAGCTTTTTTTGCGTCACATACTAGGCTTGTAGGGTTTTCTAAAAAGCCGCTAGAACGCTCTATCATATTTAAGCAATGGCTCTATCAAACAGTCCATGAACCTGCAGAGCAAGGTCAGCAGAACACAAGCGCATTGCATAATTAGGTGCTACTTAAAAGTTCCGGAATTAAATGCTCCTTTTTTTTAAATTAAATGTTCTGAAATAAAAATAAAAAAAGGAGCACACAATTTGGAAACTGGGCACTTAATTATGCACTGCGTTTATGTTCTGCTATAGGTTCATGAACATCTGTCAGCTTTCCTAAAAACATACCTACAGTTTTAAACCGATTCAAAGTTTTCGAAGTACAATAGTTTCAAAACCTTTTAGATAAGTTTCGAGAACATCAAGAAATTTTAGTTTGGAAGAGTTTCAAACGATTTCGGTACGGTATAAAAGCTTGTCGACATTATCCCACATCAAGATGGGAAAACTTCTTGCATAGGTTTTTTTACAAAATCGAAAATCCACACAGCACAGATTAGCATTAGCAATTAATAATAATAATATACAGTGTGTCCCAAATCGGGTGGGATTGCATGGGTAACTTTGTTATTATTAAAGATAGAGAATTGGTTAAATGGGCAATGTTTTGCAGTTTTGGATGCTTATTTAAAATTTCCTTATGGAAATTCAAAATGTCGCATATAGGTTCGACGTAAATTCAAAAAAACTAAAATTGGTCATTTCCTTGAATGTCTTATATCATCGAAAGTATAAGAGATATAAAAAAAAGTTTTATATAAAGGTGACTGTCTTTGATACGCTTAATTTAGAATTGATGTCAAAAAAAAATTCAAGATGGCCACTTTTGAGGAACATTTACCAACTTCCTAACGTTAAATGGGCGCCATATTGGATTTTTAGATTACTTCATAGATTTTTAAATTCTCTTTTCAACGAGCTATTATAACATAAGATTGAAAATAAGATACCAGTTATATTTTAATCAAGTAGTCTGTGACGAATAAAAAAAAACAAAACAAAATCTATTCGAGGCAACAAAACAAAGAAAATAATTACACCAGATGTTTAAAATACGGGCCATTATTAGTGAAACACACTTCAAGACAGTTTAGTTTAGGCAACGTGTTGCCTATGATGATTATTATTATTATTATTATTGTAGTGGTAGGTACTTCCACATTAGTTTTATTTTTTAATTAAGTACTTACTTTTATAATTTAATGTACTGTACATAATTCGTGAATTGTCACCTGAGCAGCCAGTTTGTTGGTAGGTAGCATAAACTAACCCTTCCTTCGGAACATACGTCGTCGAGAAAAATCCTTTAAGGAAGTTTATTGGAGAATTTGTAAATAATGGTGAGCAGTTAAAGATCCATCGAATATTACCGGTCCAATTACATGACTTCCCGTTATGCCATAAAATACATTAATTTGAAAAAATATTACTTGATTTCGGCGTGAAACTACAACATGTAGGTTTTCCTGTGACGAGTAGTGTTCATAATGTCGATTTGAACACTTCACAGTTAGAAAAATAAGATTCATCTGTCCATATACTCGGACTGGTAAAACTGTTAGTTTCGATATTCTTGCGGATAAACCACCTACAAAATGTGACCTGAGATAATGCATCAATGGTAATACATTGTGTAAAATAAAGCGAAGTGTCTTGAAATGTCTTTAACTGAATAATGGCATGTCTTTTTTCGAGGGGATAGTTTGTAGTGATACCACCATTTGTAGGTATGTAAGTATGGATAATAAGTCAATAAGTGATGTTAAAATCAAATTTTTCTAGACCTAATGCTTATATAAAATTTTGGAGGGAGTTGTAATGCCCAAACCCCTCCTCTCATGAGTCCCTGATTTTTTTAAACGTCTGATGTAATTATTTTCATTGTTTTGTTGCCTCGAATAGATTTTGTTTTGTTTTTTTTAATTCATCACAGCCTACTTAATTAAAATATAAAAACCGTTGATATAACTGGTATCTTATTTTCAATCTTATGTTATGATGGCTCGTTGAAAAGAGAATTAAAAAATCTATCAAGTAATCTAAAAATCCCATATGGCGCCTATTTAACTTTAGGAAGTTGGTAAATGTTCCTCAAAAGTAGCCATCTTGAATTTTTTTTGACATCAATTCTAAATTAAACGTATCAAAGACAGTAACTTTTATATAAAACTTTTTTTTATATCTCTTATATTTTCGATGATATATAAGACATTCAAGGTAATGACCAATTTTAGTTTTTTTGAATTTACGTCGAACCTATGCGACATTTTGAATTTCCAAAAGGAAAATTTAAATAAGCATCTAAAACTGCAAAACATTGCCCATTTAACCAATTCTCTATGCTTAATAATAACAAAGTTACCCATGCAATCCCACCCGATCTGGGACACACTGTATATTGTTGTGCAGACATGTTGATACATTTACACTCTTCATTAGATAAAGAACACACTAGCATATAATACAACAAACATAATAAAAAATAAAAAAAAAACATATAACACAGAATGACTGATACAATTACGAACCACTTCAACAGAAGTCGTTAAACTCATCAAAAGAGAAAAAAGGGTGTTGAATAAACAATTTTTTTAGTGTGATTCTAAAATCTGAGAGGGGTGCGATCTAATCTTCAGGGGAACTATATTAAACAAAGATTGCGATTGGTATGTTATTGCACCATTTTGGCTCTTCAAGAATCGGCAAAAAGTCACCCTTAAGTTATCTTTTTGTAGAGTGTTGTATGAATGCACCTGGGATTGTAACACATTCTCCACCATATTTTTCTTACAAAAACACAAGGCCTCAAGAATATAAAGACTAGGAAGAGTTAGGATCTTTATTAGTTGCGAGAATGATTGACGACAATCATCACTGTACTGTAGATACTAGATTGTTAATCACGCGTACGGCCTTTCGTTGGAGGCGAAAGATGAACTTCCATGAAGCACTATGACCCCACGCTAGTATTGCATAAGCAAGAGTACTGTGAATCAATGCGTAATACGCGGAAAGCATAACTGTTTTTGACGTACTACTGCGCAGTCGTTTAAGTAAAAATATTGACTTATTCAGTTTGTATGTAATATTATCACAGTGTGCTGTCAATAAAACATCCAAGCAGTGATACACCCGTAATACAATTTGAAGATGTATCGATATTTTTTAACGACAACGGTAAAATAGATGTCTTGCGCGCATTCAAATACAATCTATTACTGACACACCAATTCGCAACAAGTTTGATGCTGTTTTCAACATCCCGGACTGCTACATCGACATCTTCACTGGTTCCAATTAATGTCGCGCCATCCGCATAAAGTCTGCAGTCGATATTTGGTGACACCGATGAAGGCAGGTCATTTACATAAATTAGGAAAAGAATAGGGCCTAGAATAGAACCCTGAGGAACTCCATGTCGTAGGGGCAATTTGTTCGATAGAACATTATTGAATCTTACGCGTTGATGTCTTCCCTTTGAATACGAGGTGAACGCTTCGTTCACCAAAATTGTACACAAACTTTAGTTTATTCAACAAGCATTCGAAAACACCATGCACAAATGTGGAGATGGCATCAGGCGTCCTTCTCCCCTACTGTTTGTGATAAAAAAGATTATTAGTCTCAAAATGATTTGCAATTGCATTCGCATAATTTATTTGGCGTAAATTATCTTTTGCCATTGAATGAGAAGAAATGTTATCACTGACCTTAACATTGAGCGATTGAAATTTATTTAACAATAAAACTTGATTTTGCAATGATTTAATTGTGATGTCTTGGTTAACAATCACTTTGTCTTTTTCAGCAATTAACTCTCTTAAAAATTTAATTTCAAGTTCAAAAAACTTATCGTTATCGTCCACCAGAAGAACACTATCACTATCACAGCAATTTACATGCTTGTCGTCTAGAGCCCGGTTCCGGCACGTCCGTACCGCCTGGCGTCATGGTATAGGTTGCAAACAATGACTTTTAAATCTCAATCAGTGACTAATGACTGATAAAGATTAATTAGTCACGTATCCACTTAGCAAAGCCAAAGGGTGTAGCACAGTATTTCATTTTGTTTCAACAATTAAAATAAATAAACTGCGATGGCTCAACAAGAACCTTCTACATCGGTGAAACACCGGACTTTTATGAGAGAACCAATGGGTAATAAGCCGGTAAACCATTTGCCGGGTATCGGCCAGGTGACCAGTGCCCGAATGAATGAAAGAAACATTACTCAGGTAAGAATAATAACCCATATCAATATACCTACCCAAGCCGTAATTACCATATTCCAGGCGTATCAAGTTTACGGAAAATATCTGTTCTTAAAGCGAGATCGTGTTGAATTTGAAAATTGGTTGAAAAATGATTTTAATGTCAACAGCAAGCGAGCAACGGACTGTTTTAATGCGATGGATAGTTATTACATCCAGTTCCAATAACTCGCTCTAGCACTCGCTTGAAATAATTTTGTCCGTTTATAGATGTTTATATCTGTTGAGACAATAAAGATTTACTATTTTTTCCTATTTGAATTTTTTATAGTCACATTTATAAAGCGGAAAAGGAAAACGATGGCCAATTTGTACGGAAATTGCTGGTGTCTATCTGTCAGTCCGTGAACACGATAACTGCCACCACTTGGGCAGATTCGGTTCAAACTTTGCACAGTAGGGTTACGCCGCTCTGCCGCTTTACATGCGGTTTATTGTCAATCTGGGGATCTTGTGTTTAAACTCTAAACTGACTCCGACAGATCCCTGTTTTCGGAGCATAGAAGAGTAGACTCTCTTGTACCCCAATTTGCCACACTGGCGCATCCTTCTGGACGAGTATAGTGCAGTTATTATCATTTATTCTAAAGAATTGATTCAAAACCAACCAACCACTAAGCAAACGCTCTACATTCTAAGCTAAGCAGCAACAACCTTTGGTGCTTCAAAGTTGGTCATGGAAAGTGCTTAAAACAAAACTATAAGAATACCAAAGGCCCTGATCACATCTGGGATGGTCTCGGAGTGTCACTGCCTGCGAAAGGAACACATTTGAGATTCTATACGAATCAAGGAACACTCTGGCTCTAATTCAGCTGTTCCGGTACAAGAGACACTGACTTATATAAACTACTGAGGGGACTCATATACCTCAAGAGCCTTTTATACTTTCTTACATAAAACCATAAACAATTCAACTGAAATAATTAACAATGGTTCCAACTATAATCACAGAGCTTGACTTGACCATAGGAATTTCAATAGTAATTTTTTAATTTGCGATTATTGGTTACCCTAATTATTTTAGAAAGTCTATTTAGGTTTTTTGTAGAAAAAAAAATTACGAATGAGTACATTCCTATTTTATAAATTCAGAGAAACAGTAAAAATTTGAAAATGTAAAACTGCCGCGTTTATAAAATCGGTAATGCCATGGAATTGTGAAATCAAACAAAAGTGCCTGTATTTGACATTAGTTAGTTTTGTTTGATCTCAAACTGCCATGGCACCACTGATTTTCTTAAAAGTGCCAGTTTTTAGTTATCCAATTTCTTGGTTTCAATGTTCAAAAAATTTATAGTATGCATGGATTCATAATTAGGGAAGCCAATAATCAGAAATGAAAAACTTACTACTATGGCAAGTTGTTCAACTTCAAGTCACCCGGTATATACCTAACGGTAAAACACACCTTCCCTACAATTTATATGTATATATATAATTTCAAAGCATATACTGCCAATAGGCAAAAGAAGTCAAATGGGTTGGCTCCACTGGTCAATAGTTTGGAAAGGTGTAGAAATGCGACCTTTAAGGCTAATCTATACTGCATCAAGTTAGGTAATTGTGTTCGTTATTATCAGGACAAGGTTTGTGTAAACGATAGTTTCCAAAAAATTATACGGAAATATGTAAGAAAACAATTTTTGCTCGTTTCCGTTATAATTAATAGATGGCGCTATAACGGCTCTAGAAGAATCCATCCATACCGTCGACTTCATGCAAAAGGCTAGAAAATAGACGGCCAAACGTATTAATTACGTAAACCCGCAAAAGTTTCTGATGTAGTAAAAACCTTTCCGAAATCTCCACGGGAACGGAAACAGAAAAAAAAAACAGGATTTTATATTTTACCTTCGGTAACTTGACGTTTAGAACGTAAGTTTCTTTGTTCCCTCGGAAACGGGATAGTCAGTAAACATATTTTTATTTCAAATAGTTTTTGTAGATAGTTAACAATGCAACTGGAGTTCTTGGTGTAACCAATTGTAACGCTCGAACAAAATGTCGCATCTCCACAGACTGCGCATCTAAACTTTCCTCCAAAGCGTTCATTGCTGCTTCATGACAAACTGCATTCACTTCAGCCCCCGAGTATCCCTCCGTTAAAGAAACCAACGCCTCATAGTCAACATCAACAACCTGAAAAGCGCAGTGAGAAATCTAGGATCAATGTAGCTCAACTCTTACCGGCATTTTTGACACTTTTAATTTAAAAATTTCCCTTCGTGTATCACTGTCAGGCAAGGGAACATAAACGATACGATCTAATCGACCCGGTCTCAGAAGAGCCTTGTCAATTTTGTCGGGTCTATTCGTCGCAGCTAAAACAGTTACGTCGCCCAAAGGAGTCACGCCGTCCAATTCCGTCAGTAACTGCGCCAAAACGCGCTCTTGCACGCTCGTACTCGATCCGGAACTTCGTTCGCCGCCCAACGCATCGATCTCATCAAAAAATATAACGGAGGGCGCCACCTGTCTCGCCTTACGAAATACCTCTCTAACTGCGCGTTCCGATTCGCCCACCCATTTACTGAACAGTTCCGGACCTTTAATCGACAGAAAGTTGAGACCGCTCTCGGTGGCGAGCGCCTTGGCGATCATCGTCTTCGAGCAACCGGGCGGACCGAACATCAGCACGCCGCGCGGCGGCGTAATTCCCAGCCGAACGAAGCTTTCGGGATGTTTGATCGGCCACTCCACCGCTTGTCGCAGGATTAATTTCAGATCGGCCTGTCCTCCTATGTCCGACCATTTCACGTTGGGTACCTAAACATTTTGCAAATTAAATCTACGGGGGAATTTCTATTGCCAACATCTGGTTCTGGATTCTTTAAAACGAAATTGTCGTTTTAAACAATCTTGCCTTTTTTTGTTTGCCATGGAAACCAAAATGTCTGCAATAAAAATATTTTATTTTGTAGCAGAGGACATTTTAATAGGTTTGAATGAATAGGCTAACCGTAAAGAAAGTGATCACTTTAACCACAAGGGTAGATAAAGTGAAACAGATGGTTCTGCATTCTGATGACATATATGTCATTCTTATTTCAAATGGGACGTGGACCACGATATAAAATGAAGTTCAGAACATATGACAATGCTGTTTTAATGTAAACGGTCGCGACGGCAGAATTGTCAGAAGCTTTACAATGATTTATATGGCTTCTGCTATAAAATAAAGTTTTCTATTATACACGACGAAAAAGGGAAAGTAAAAGTGCATTTACTCAATGGTTAAAATATCCCTTTATCGTCTTGTATAATAAAAATATAATAAAAACTACAAAATATAGGAGGTGGTAGGTATGTAAAATGTAGTTTAAGGTCGTACAAAAAGAAACCTAACACCCTGTATAAAAATTGCCTACTGCGATGGATTCTACATAAAAAATTGCTCTAAGAAAAGTTTTGCCACCATCAATTATCTTTAATAATACCAAAGTTATAGAGCATTAAAGAACAGACTACTAAAGTCACTAAATATAGAAAGTACCACAATCCATTGGGCTCGTGTGTTAGAGAGAGAACGCATGATTTTCGCCCAAAAATGGCGGAAGTTACCAGATTCTAGTAACTTTAATGTTAGGGATTGTTCCACCTGTGTAGAGATACCTGGGCATCGATTCCCGATGTGCTCCGTGATGTGCATGTGATGTGACCGGATGCCATGACGTCATGATCGTATACGATAGGGATAAGTTCGTTTAGCTGCATTCCCGAATCGTGGACAAACTTTATGCGCTAACCAATCACAGACAAGAATTGAAATGTCATTTGTCAGTTTTGTATTTTGTTTTGTTTTTGCATTATGGATACTGTTATTAATAACCAGAAAATCCTCGAACAATTCCATGCTTTATTTCACAGAAAATATGTGAATGTATAGGTTATGGCACTGTATTAATAACCCAAGCAAAACAGCTGCAACATCCGTCCTGTAGCTGCTACTGCGCATGACTTTCACGCAACGAGTGGTCTAGACGAGTCGTTGCGTTCGATCAACTTTTCGCTCGATGTGGTAGGTTCGAGAATAGAGTCACACTCACGTTCACATCAAGGTCACTCGATGTGAACAAAGCACATCTTCGGGAATCGACGCCCTGTATATATTTTTATAAAACATGACAGTACTATGAAGTTAAAAAATTACAGCTATTCAGATTTTATTTGTCAATTTTTTTAAGTTGGCAGCAAATTTGCCCAAAAATGGCGGATGATTGCGGTACTTTCTATATTTAGTGACTTTACAGACTACATTCAAGAAACGCCCCCCTAGCGACCAAACGCTTAGAAATAGCTGAATTCTGTTTGCGCTAGTGATTTTCTCTTTAAAATTGAGCTCCAGACACCTAGGTCCATTTTTTTCTAATATAAAATAAAGGACGTTTCCATAATAAAGTGTACAATTAGGACCACCCTGTAGAGATTGGTAGATGGATGGGTGTGGCCACGATATTGGTCACAGACAAGTTTGAGAAACTTTTCTCGCGTATGGATAAAAACCTGACGACACATTTGATAAATAAATAGCTATTATTTATAAATAAACAATGCCCATACTATGTAGTTGCTATACAAGCTATTCTATACATTACCCTAGTCATGTTCACGTGACTTTAGCATACCCAATATATCTAAGAGACATTCACATACTCACAACTACCCTGCCCCCTAAGTGTGTTGACTTATTTTGTATTGAAAGCATAGGACTAATAACTGTCCATCTTTCAATAATAAATTTCAATTGTTTATATTTCATTGCACACTAAGATAGTGGAATAATTAATGTAAATCATAAAAATTGTTAATAATAAATTTAAGGAAAGTCCATACTTACTGTTAAAGTTATAAACAAAGTATAATTATTGCAGTTTTGTAAGTTGTCATTAGTTTCTTCTATAGTTTGCAAGTACAGGGTGGCCAACTAAGCTGCGGTTTTCGCGAGCTTGTTTAGACATCATTTAGCTACTTTTTCATGAAAAAAAAATTGAACCAGTGCATTTAATTTTTTCGAGAAAATTAACCATTTCTGTCGGAATGCCAAAAAAAGCCCTCAAGCGGCGATATGTGAAACTAACAAAACTTCTAATATTATAATAGTTGTAGCCAAAGATACAGGGTGTTCTTTACGGAAAACTTTGAATAACCCCCCACCACTTCATTTTAAAGATACAGGAAAAATTGTCAAACAAAAAAGGTACAGATTATCCTCGCCGTCTTCAAAGACCGGACATTTTTTTGTTAGGTTAATATAGCGGAATTCACAGAAACATCACTTTTTTAGATTCCAGATTGCAGTTACGCCCCCTAGCGGCCATTTCAGAAACTTAAAAATATTTTCCAGGTTTTTGTCGTGGCCGTTTTAACCTTTTTTACCGCAAGCCTCTACGATGGACAGGTTCCCAGATACAGTACCTCGCATTCTTATTTGGCCACCCTGTACATACCAATCTAATTATACACCTACTCAGGTAAAGTGAACTCACCTCAATTTGAACCTCGCGCATTGCACTAGGATTGACACGTGTAAGCGCAAACCTGAAATGCTCGGCACACAATTTGTTCGATTTCAAAGTTGCCGCTCGCAAAGCAGCTTGAGCGCATAGCAAAACAAGATCCGAGCCTACGAAACCGTGAGTCACATTCGCGATATCCCTCAGCTCATCGTCGCCGATATTTTGCGGAACGTTGCGCAACAGTTTTGACAAAATATCGTAGCGCGCCGACTGGTTTGGAGTGGGAATTTCGATTTCGTGATCGAATCTACCGCAACGTCGTACCGACAAGTCAATTGCGTCCGGTTTATTGGAGGTGGCTATCACGAATGCCTTTGCACTTTCAGAGTTGATCTGTTCGAAAAATCCCAGCAGACTACTCGTGAATTTCTTTTCGAGATCGCCTATGCGCGAAGTGCGTAACGGGCATAATGTGTCTATGTCGTCAATAATTATTAGTGACGGTGTACGTTTCATAGCCTCATTAAAGGTCACCTCCAGATCATCACCATCGGTAATCTTAACGACATGTGCGTCAATATTGTTGGCCAACGCATTGACCACCATTGTTTTACCAGCACCAGGTGATCCGTACAGTAATGCTCCGTGACTAATAAGCGATTGCGAAACGGCTTTTGTTTTTCCTAACGCAATGTGGATGATATCCTTAATTTCGCCAATTTCCTTATCCAAACCGCCTATTTCCAAGAGACTACGTTCTTTTTTTTGCTTGTACTCCAACTCACTTCTACAAACAAACAATCGACAAAATATCCAATCGGAGAAATAGTTACCTGAATATATTCCAGCTCGTACTATCGACAACTTGAAAAAACTGTGGCTCGAGACTCGCACCTTGCAATGCTTGAACCAGATCCTTATCGGGTTGCGTAATATCAATCACTTCGAATGTTAAAAACACACCAAAGTAGAAAATGGTGATTTTATTTCCCTTAGTTAAAAAATGTCTTAAATAAGCCTTGTGTATCCGTACATTAACGTCGTGCGTTAATTCAATGTTACAATGTGCTAAAGGCTTGAGAATAACTTGTCGCGCTGCCGTCACATTATGATCAAACCTCTTTACTCGCACTAAGGTGTTTATATCAAAAGTTCGATCTAAGCCTAAAATTGCAATTCATTACATTGGAGGGAGATGTAGTACCATACCTCGTTTAGTCAGTAGAACCGATGTTAGTGTTTTTTCTACCGTGGGCCACACACGTAACGCGTACGCTTGGTTATCATCGTAAACTAAAGCGTGCTCTCCGATGCACAATTCGCAAAGCTGGATGGCGGATTGACTTAAAAATACTAGATTATTGTAATCCTGAGGCGTTAATCCTTTTATCTCCTCTGTTGGTTTTAAATCGACAGTGCCATATAAAGTTGCACCGAGTACAAAGTTATGTGTCCTGCTGGTCGTTAAATCTGGGGGACAGTCCGCAAAGTGGCGTTCTTTGTCTGACTGCGTTACGCTGCAGTTACATTTTTCGCATAGAAACCAGCTGGTGGAGCCCTTTTTATTTTTAGGAGAAGTCATAATAAAACATTTTCGTATTCCACGCGAATTAAAGGTTATGTTATACAAAAAAAAGTTAGGTTATATTTTCATGTTTGACATGAAGATAAATATACTGTACAGGGTGCGTCAAATAAAAAAAAGATTGTACGGTATAAACTGCAAATAGATTCAATTATATTAAAAAAAAAACAGCTTGATCCTATTATTTAGATTCTTTGCAATAGATTAAAACCGACTTTGGTAATAAAGTCACCTTCACAGGCTTCAATTCAAACTCTTCATTATCAATTGAAAACCATCTGTCAGTGTGCTCTAATTCATCCGGTTTAATTTCAATTTCTTTGGCTAAGATGGTTTCCTTTACATTACGATCGTGACCGTGCTCCGACCTCCAACCTTCGCTCACAAAATCAAAATAATCGACGGAATTGGGCCCCAGATTTAGCTTTAATTGTGGTAAACTATCGTAACCGCCCAATGCGTTTGTTGTCGCGACAGCAAAATCCGAAGTCGAGATGTACTTCTGATGTATCTCCTCGCAGAGAGCGTTAACAGTTCTTGGCACGACCACACTTTGAGTTTTGTAAGGTAAAAACCGATGATACCAACGCCTCCTCTCCTCGGGCAAACGCACACAATTCTTGCACCCTTCGCAAGGCAACGTGTAGTTAATATTTGCGTTACAATTCCAACTCAGTGTGCTTTTATACCTAACAAACGATTAAGTCACTACAAGTACCAAGCCGGTAATCGACATACCCGTTAAAAATATAGGTTGCATAGCTCCTCAAAGGTCCAAAATACCAGTATTTGTCCTTACGAGCCTGCGCATCTCGGTATGCGCCCCATTTTACAGATGACACGGCATATATAACTTTACCTGCAAGAAACATAAGATCCGAATGTAATTTTCGCTCATGGATTACCTTGCAACTCTTCATCTTGTAAGACCTCAATTTTCATAACGTCTATAGGTTTCATATGCGCTTTAATAACAGCAAGGGAAGCATCGGCAAGCGAGCGAATATTTTGCAAATGGTCCCCACCCGGAAATAACCTGTTACCTATAGTGTTCGTTCTTCCTAACGGCAGCACACCTATAACAAAACTAAATTTGTTTTTGCTATAAAAAGTGATCGACAACAAACCGATTGGTAAATCTACTTTATTCGTTTCTGATTTGCGCATCAATCCGGTAACCACTTCTGATAATGTACCGTCACCACCAGCGACAACAACCGCATTAGTCGCCTCCAAATTATCCATTAAAGTTTTCGCGTGTCCTTCGGCATCTGTCTGAATAACGTCAACGTATATCCCGGCCAAGTTTAAAATCGGCGCACAATACTTTTCGTACTCTTTCATTGCTTTCCGCTTGTTTGCGTTCGGATTTAGAATAATCGTTATGTGCCTAGGATTCTCGTCGGAGGCGATCGGCGCTTTACCGTACTCGGCGGCTTCCTTACAGTAAACTCGCATGAGTTGTTGTATTCTGCGGAACTTCTGTTTGTCAAGTTGTTAGGTTAGTTTTAACTCACTCGTAGTATTCCTTGGCATAATTACAGCCGTAAGTTAATGCGACCGCTGCAAATATGGACTTTTTCCAATGATTTCTGACGCCTTTCACAAATTTGATAACAAAAGCCATAACTTTTTGGTTTACATGGGGAAATTTATAGGTTATGTCATAAAAAACCACAGAGTAGACGATTTTGATATACAGGGCATGACAAAATAGAAAAACTCTTCAAATTATGCAATGAAGCATTCATGAGTTTTTTTGGCTTTTATAGCAAACTTTTTGGACGATATTTCCAAAATATACAGCAGTTAAAATAACTTAAAAACCACAAATGGTAGATCTTGACATGTGGGTATTAAAAGAACCGAAATTTCACGTAGAAACAAAAAATAGGTGCAACCACTTTGAAAGTATTTTATATCGACCTTCAGAGTAATTCCTAAGTACACATTTTCAAAAACCTATCTATTTCACTTTCCCAGAAACGTTTAACTAAAGCTTTCAAAAAAACACCCTATAGAACAAAAGTAGGGGTGGACTGGCAAAGGGAGTTCGTTTGCACCTTGACAACGTCCGCTCTCGCGTCGCCCACATCACGACGGATCTCATCGTCAGATTCGACTGGGAAATCATTGACAATCATCCGTACAGCTCTGATATTTAGACCCCACAGTGACTACTCTATTTGTTCCCCAACTTGAAACAACACTTGGGGAATGAAATTCTCAAGCTGAAGGCGCAGCTGTCGATTCCTTCATGTACAGGTCCCTAAAGCAGTTCTGTAAATCTCAGAAAGATTTCGCGAGTCCTTCAAATTCATAGATAAATATGTGTAGGTATCTGTAAATGTACTAAAGATAACAAAAGGCACCTGCAACACATGAAACGGCCTATAACGCGCTGGTGGGCTCTTGAAATCACTTAAGTGAACATAAAAAGCCTTCTTATTCAACAACCACACCCTTGAAGACCCTTCAACTTTCAGCGTTAGGGTTGCGGCTGACCTGGTTTTCTTTAGTAGCCTCCTTTAGGGTTATTCTTTTCGGAATCTCGCCCCTATATGGGTAATATGTGTACAAAATCTGCGACCATTCTGGAAAGTTTCAAAGTATTGACTATAACATTCAATTCTCAGTGTGTGAAATAATTATTTTGTTGCGAGTGGCAACAGAAAGAGACGTTTTCCAAATTGTTTTCTCAAAAATATAAAGGGAATTCTTCTATGCGTGTGAAATCTCTATTTCTCAACCTTCCAATTCTAAGGAAGGTATTTGAATTTGTGGCAGCTTATTTACGGCGTTAACCTGGCAACAAATGTAGAGTTTCACGAACTGCTGTCTATAATTAAACAAATTTACATTTAAATCACACAGTTCTGAACAAAAGTACACCTGGATTACTAGGTAAACATGTTTGGTATAGTGCAATGTACTGTATTGGAAAATTCTTCTTCAAGGCGTTTCAAATACCGAATTTTGTTCGATAGCTTTCTGGGACCTTTTTTTGTGGTACCACTTCAATGACAAAGTTCAATTTCTGCATCTTATCTAGATCATATTAAGCACGTAACGACTAGATTGCAATTTCCTGATCAGATGCAATGACAGTGTGAAATCATCTCCAATCGATTTTCAATTTATGAAATTTGGAGATCCGCTCCATCTATTCATAAAATTGATGATGAAGTGAAACGGGAAGGAAATTTCGTAATTACTCGTTTTAATTTGGAAACGAGAACCTCCAGATGATTCTTCTTCCCATTACTTTGCTCTAAATCAAAGGTGGGTTTTAAATTGGCGCTTGCTGGAATTGTATTTTTACATACACTCAATTTTCCGTGGAACGCCCGTAAAATATAGCGTAACCGTAAACCGCGCTTTCTCCCACTTAGTTTTCACTCACGCCAATAAATACGCTCCTCGCGTTTAAACGGATCAGTCAGTACAAAGTTGCGTTATAAGAAGCTAGCGTGTAAAATGCCAACGGAAGTTGCAAGTATGGCGCATTCGTCTTTAATAAATAATCATCCGGTAATGTCGCCCATTTGTTCGGAAATTCAAAGTGGTTCGCTAACGTTAATCGCGATGAACGGGCGCCGTCAGGGCGTGAACGTGAAGGTGTACCGAACATCTCTGGAACATTTCGCCGTGCTCTACCCCCAGAAGAAAATCTGCAGACCTCTCGGCGTCATTAATCTTCGTCACACGACCGTCGAAAATTTAAACGATAAGCAAGCTGGATTTAAAGTGCGACAACTGGGCTACGATACGCCGATGAGTTTAACCTTCCTGTGCGAATCGCCCCGCGAAATAGACACTTGGCTGGCGGCTTTCACCTCGAGGTGCTCCCCAACGCTGCGACACCAATCCTCATTGCCCATCGTCGAAGAAGACGAAGAGCAGTAGACCGCCAAACAAAATCCATTAACCCTGAAAACGAGATCGGGGTTAACCTTTACAGATCCTTCATAATATGGATTACGTTAAACTTCCCGGAAGGTTGGCCGGTTCGATAATCAAGGTCTTTCCCCCGTTGCCTGGCAACGTGCACGAAGCGAGATGAACATCCGTGACGTAGACTGCGTGGCACCATCATCAAACGCTCTTTTTTAGTTCTATCCACTCACCCCCTTCAAGACTGAATTGATTTTGGTATGCGGCATCTACGCCTTATTGTTTGTGCGTGTGTGAAAATGTAAGCTTTTGATGTCCCCGTCTTCCACCACTGTAAATAATTGGGCATTCATCTTATTATAAATTATATTTACTTTAGTGTTTAATTAATGTCTGTGATAATGTTTTATGTATTTAAGTTGCGTATATTTGCATTGAAATAAAGAGAAAACGCGCTCGTTGTTATGCAATTGCCTCGCATTGTTCCACCTTACCGAATTACAACTAAGCCATCCTAATCTTATTTACGTACTCGTATAGCGCTTCCGATCACGTTGCTGGATAATATGGAAGCGAAATTTTGATCGATAGGTACACAGGATGAAATATGCCAAGAAAGAAATTGCTGCGAACTCTTTTGGGGGTAATTTTATCGATTCCAAAATGCCTATTCTTGATTTAGTGAACTAAATCTTTGAAGATGTAATGGACAATGCAAAAATACCAGTCCCAGACATCTTTCCTTGTTCACACATAATGAGATTAAGGTTCCCAAAATTCCCATCTTCACAGTATAGGAACAACCGCATTTGGTATACTTAAGTATAGGTGTAGGTATATTATTACTAAATTGACACTGCGCAAGATTCTCTGGTTTATAAATACGAGGGTTGTCCAGAAAGTAGCAGACGTTTTGAAATAAAAAATTTTAAACTTGTAAAGAAAATCTATTATTGTATACATAAAGTTTAAAATTTTTTATTTCAAAACGTCTGCTACTTTCTGGATAACCCTCGTAAATTTAATGTTGTAATTAGTGTCCCCATTTCCCATTTGTTAACTTAATTTTTCGGAGCAATTTTGGTTATAAAACAACGGGGGAGTTGTGATTCATTCAACTCCATCACACAAAACAAGAAAAAATCGTATGTGAATGCCTTGCGAGTAAGACGTGTTTTAGCCGCTCCGGTATTTCCAAGTGTCAGTTTTGTGATATACAACATTTTTAAACTCGCGTTCTGAAATTACGGCTTTTACATTAATACTGTGTATTATTATATTCACGAAGATGAGTTCTGGTATAGATCCAAAAAAAAACCCCGCTGATGCCTCCAGTGAAGAAGCCTCAACCGCATCGGATCCTCCACCACAAGAAAAATGGTTGAGTACCATAATGGAAAAGCAAACGGCGAATATTCTTAACAGCATCGACATAAAATTTAACGAATTCTACGAGTCTTTAAAAGAGCTCAAATCCGACTTATCAAAGACCATCTCACGTGTTGATTGTGCCGAAGAAAAATTGGATGACCTCGAGCAATATGTTCGCCGAAATAATCTACGTATCTTTGGTGTAAAAGAAGCTGTTGGTGAAGATACCGACCAGATTGTTATTGCACTTATTAAAAAATAATTGAACATCGATATCTCCTTAAACGATTTAGAAAGAAGTCAAGGGTGGGTCCCAAAGTATCTCAGTTTGCACGGCCGATCATTGTAAAGTTCTGGCAGTTATAGAAAAAGAGCGGAAGTGTTTGGAAATAAAAAACTCTTAAAAAAAACAGGGTTTGTGATTCGGGAAGACCTTACCAAGCGTCGCTACAAACTGGTACAAAGTGCTCAGGAAAAGTACGGCAAAAACAATGTCTGGACAGCTGACGGAAAAATCGTAATAAAAAAATCCGATAATACTGTGTCCTATATTTCCAATGCAAATAATCTCTAAAAGCGCAATAATGATACGCGAGTCTTGTGCAAGCAAACTAGAATTATATTTCTCGTTCTTTACAGTTTCATTATCATTGAAGTTACATTTTGTGTGATCAAAAATAAGTTTATGGATATCGCTTTATGTTACAAATTACTTACAAACTTTTCTCTTTGTCTTTTCGTTGTTAAATCGTCCCTTGAACTATAAACTTTAGTTATATTTCTGTAATTGCTACCTTAGCTATCAATATACTTAATTATATTTTCTTTTCACATGTCAATTTTTCAAACATTGTCGAATCTGATTCTTGAATACTTAGCTATGTGGTATTTGATTACCCTTCATGTATTAATATTTTCTTCCAGGAACTTTTCACATCGGTCTTACGAAATACCGGAAAAGCGCGGCCTCTTCGAGCAATTACTTCACCATACGTGTTTGATGTCTTAGGTGAAACTAGTAAGCAAAACCTTCTCATTGGACACATTAATATTAGATCTATATCTAAACATTTCGATGAACTGAAATCCTTCATGCTTGATTACAATTTTGATTTTTTAGCAATCAGTGCCACCTGGCTTAATAAAGAGGTCCGCGAATTTTTATGTCCCTGGGTACTATTTATTAAGAAGGGATGGATGCGGAAGAGGAGATGGTGTCGCACTGTACATTAACGTATCCTTTCAAGTTGAAGTTCTGAACTACGAGGTGCAAGATGTAGATCGCTTAAACCAACTCTGGATTTCCGTAAAAATAGGTAAACGCATGCATGCCATAGGTGTTGTATATAAATCGCCGAGTATCTCCTACCAGCACTTCTCTGTTCTGGATGATATGTTTTCCTTTATTGTTCCGCAGTTCAGCGACGTAATCTGTTTAGGGGACTTCAACGTTAACCTGCTGTCTTCTTCCCGAGCATGTGAATACCTTAAACAAATTACAGACAGCTATGGTTTTAGACAAATTACGTCTAAACCGACGCGGGTCACGGCAACGTCGGGCACGCTAATTGATCATATCTACGTCACAAATGATCTGGTCGTATTAAATGAAGGCGTTGAACCTTTACCTTTTCATATCGATCATTACTTAATCCACTGTACGCTTGAACTTCCTAAACCTCCTAAATTGGACAAGTATATATTGTACAGGGATATCATAGGCATAAACAAAATAGATTTTTCAAATTGCGCAGCTCAGATCAATTGGGAACATTTAACTTGCCTTGAAGACATTGACGAGAAGGTGCAGTATCTCAATGCTTGTATCACAACATTATTTAATGAATTTGCTCCTATTAAAAAAATAAAAATCACTAAAAAGAAGATGCCTTGGATAACACCAAATATTAAGTACATGATGCGACTGAGGGATAATGCACTCTCCAAATTCAAGCAATCACTGAAAAATGTACACTGTCACTCTTCCTTTTCGGAAGGGAAATGGTTGTACTATAAGCAATTGCGTAATTTTGTAACCGCTTCTATACGGAGAGAGAAAAAAACATACGTAAAATTCCAATTAAAAGATACTAACGACTCCCAAAAACTTTGGAGCGTCTTAAAAGAGTTAGACGTTCATTCAAAACGATGCTCAGATGATATACCTGTTGAACTGTCTGACCCAAATCTAATCAACCAACACTTCATTTCAACCCCATCTGCAGTCACTGATACGGACACTCTTGACTTTTACTTAAACAACGTTCACAACTCTACTACTCAAACTTTTTCTTTCTCTACTGTTACAGATACGGATGTGAATAACGCTGTCTATAGTTTGAAATCTAATGCAATGGGTGTTGATTCAATTTCGTTAACTATGCTTCGGCTTTGTCTGCCTTTCTGTTGTAGAGCTATTACTGACATAATTAACACGTCTTTAAAAATTGTCACTTTCCCCTCCCTCTGGAAACTTGCAATTGTTCACCCTATCTGTAAAAAGTATCCGCCTGAAAACCTGTCTCATTTAAGACCCATTAGTATCCTAACTGTGTTATCTAAAGTAACTGAGAAGATTATATATGTACAATTGTCCGCTTATATACGTGCAAATCACATATTACCGTTACATCAATCTGGTTTCCGCAGCCATCACTCTACTGCGACCACTCTAATTGATATAGTGGACGAAGTCCTAGCAGCAACCGATCGCTCTCAAGTATCTGTGATGCTCTCAATCGATTTTTCCAAAGCATTTGACTGTATAAACCATGAACTTTTGGTAGCCAAGTTGCATTATCTTGGACTTTCTTCTACCGCTACTAATTGGTTTAAAAGCTACTTACAAAATCGAATGCAGATGGTTAGAACTTTGAGGGATGGAAGCTACAGTGATTCTAACTTTTTACCTGTTAATATGGGGGTTCCGCAAGGATCTATCCTCGGACCGCTTCTTTTCTGTTTATATGTTTTCGATATGGATACGTCTTTAAACGGTTCCTACATCCACAGTTACGCGGACGATACATACTTAATCTATCCTGTCCATCGAAACAATCTAAATTACTCTCTGAGAAACTTGAATGAGCAGTTAAATCGGTTCGAGAGATGGTCTGAGAAACATTCCCTAAAGATAAATCCTTCTAAATCTTCTCTGATGCTATTGGGAACACCAAAATCTGTTACTGCATTGTGGGAA